TTATCTACTCCCACCTGTGGTTTGCAGTCCATGCACTGGCTGCTATCTCAATTCGAACAGAATAGCCTCAGCTTGTACTATCAACATATTAACTATTACCTCCATACAATTCTTTGGAAGAGTCTTGTCTAACTCTTTTAAGTTCAATACTAACTACATAGACCTAATCTTTTCTATAACAGTTAAATACCCACTATCTCCCTCTTCATCCTCTTTACTACCATCAATCTCTATTCACCACTCTGCTGCATCAAAAATTTTCTACCCAAGTAACAAAACAAACAAACTAATAGAAATCTCACTAGCCAATCTCTTTTATAACAACTTCAATTTTTATACTGATTGATCTGTTATCGATATAGGTACCAACTAGTGCTTTATAGGCATAGGCTGGGTACAAGTAGATAATAATAACTATATAATCAACAAATTTTCTGCCAAGATTCATCTATGGCTAACTTTATATAAAGCAGAACTCCTATCTATCTTATCAGCTATTTCTACCATTTACATAATTTGCTTATTAACATTTATATAGATTCACAATCAATTATCTCCAAATTTATTAAGCTTAACTCAACAACCACTAATCCTAACAAAATTCTAAAATTTAATGCATGGCCCTTGTGGTACACACTTCTTAATCTTATTAAATCATTTAACATATGCCTTACCTTTTATAAAGTTCAGGCCCATTCTGACAATACACTTAACAACCTAGATGATTCACTAGCTAAATAACATATATCTGAAACATCACTAGAACTTAACTACACTAATATTTATAACCCATTTCATTTCCTACAATAGGAAGAAGAACAATATCTAGTGGATTCTTCCACTAGATATTTTGTAAAGACAATTTGCAAAGCCCATATTCTAGCAATGTGGTCATCTCAGAAACGAAATAATGAATAGTTCTCTCTAAACTGGCAAATAGACTGGAGATCTATATTGCTTTATTTTAATCATAACCAAAAACCTTCATATAACCTTACAAATTTCAAACTTAATCAACTTAAGTCCTTTAAAATTAAGACACTACTTAATGAACTTCCTATATACTCACTTTTCCACACAATATACCCTAAAATTTTTCATAGCAACAAATGCTTCCACTATAACTTATCTGACTCTCCATCACACTGGCATACTTGTATCAATCCTACTATAATGCACCAAATACTTTTACCTACAATCTCAAACTACCTTCACTCAATTGAACTCGATATAATTAATAAAGAATTGAAAGACCTAATCCAAAAAATTTATAGACATAAAGCTTTCGATAATATAGCTTTCCAACCCTATTCTTACTATATAGAGCCAATTCTCAAAGGTCTAATCTCTTGATCATTAATACAAACTATTCAAAATTATAATATCTCTTACAAAACAGCAGCCAATATCATAATCAACCTACTACTCAAAATCAATGAACAACTATATGAACAAGCATGGAAACCTATTGTACAAACTTCGCTAATTGGAAAAAACAAGCATACTTAAACTATCCATATAGTAACAACCCCAATTCTACCCAGCAACCTGACGATTCAAGTTTACTTGATGACTCTAACTCTAACCAACAAACCAAGATTATCAATCATATATGCAAAATATATATATATTCTTGTTTATGTAAAGAACTAGACCAATTATATTCACATACTGGAACCTGCCTACTAGTAGGCCAGGCTAAAAAGAAAATTAATACTTAGTCTTATCTTTGGGCCAAGTACAGTATCTCTTTAAATCATATCTTAACTATAGTAATCTAGGTGAGTCTTTGACCACTCCAGTAGGTTTAGGTCACAGAAAAATTTTCTTCTGTCTGAGCTCTTATTCTTGTATGTAATTTTTATTTTTATTTGTACTGGTATGAATAGTAGTAACTCTGTAAATTTCTATGTTTAGCAATTACTTTAGTAACTGCATTATAGCAATCTATATTGTAACTATTTCAAAATTACTAATAAAAATACAAGCAAGGCCTCACTTTAAAACCAAAAAAAAAAAAAAAAAAAAATTATTAAAAGAAGAAGTAGTTTCTTAATTGCAACTATTGCTAGGAACACTACAAGTATTGGTATCGATAGAAATAATATAATCCGTAAGAAATTAACTGAGAGACATTTCTTCCTCAAACCAATAATGATCAAGAACTTCTTTAAATAAATGACCTTTAAAGCTATCGTTATCGTAGATAAGCCACTTGAAAGAATTAATATCAAATTCAAGAAAAGTATTATAAACTTGAATATAATCTGAAACTATATTCTGAAAAAAGGGACCAATACAGTAATCCTCCAGATATGTTCTGCAAGAGGATACGAGATAAAGACTTCTTTAGTATAAATATCAATACGAAGATGATCGTAGTCAGCAATTGAATTATTTGAAGATATTGTATAAAAGCTATTGTTTAGAAATATAATTAAAAGGATTATTAGGTTAAGGTTTGAACTGGAAAAAGTATTGAAAGAAATGCTGAATATCAACTGTTTTTATAAGAAATCAAGTAACACAGGGTTACACTGATAAACTTATAAATACAACCTTACGCGCACCAAAAAATTGATAGTGGAAGGCACTCAACTAATATCTCACTTAATAATCACCAATTAAATAAGACTATACCAAATGTGTGAACCATATTTTTGGATAAAGCTTTATGAAATATCAACATGGGTAATACAAAATTACTCAAGCAGATATCTATCAAAAATATACTGGGGTACACAAAGACTATTTGGATTTGACAACTTTATTACAGAGTTAGACAATTAATAACCAGATAAATAAAGATGACTCACACACTATCATACTATGTATTACAAGAAATCTTAGAACCAGAGATGTGAACTATCGAATATTTACAAGATAAGAAAGTACTACTACAACAAATGAAGTGCCCAAAATGTGACCAAGATATGACTCTTAATCATACCTTATTTAGTTGTGCGAAATGTACATGTAGAAAAAGCATATCTATCTTTAAAGAAACAATATTCTCAGAATCAAAGATCCCATATAACAAATTATTAATGATTGACTATTTATAGATACTCAGATGTAAATATCAAACAATACGCACATTCACAGGAATATCACCAACAACAATTACATGATGGCTGAAAATATTTAAGGAATTAGTAAGCTTTAACCTCGAAGAAAAACATCAACAAATACGAATCAAGATTTGGAATACGAAAAACATAGGTATATAATGAAGAAACAAATGAGTTTGAAATGAAATTAAACCATATATAGGTATTTGGAGGTGTAGAACGAACGCTCCAATCAAAAATGTTTGTAATGATTATAGAAGACAGGTCAGCAGATGCCTTGCAGAAACAAATAGAGAAACATATACATCCCAAATCAATCATTTATTCAGATATGTGGTCAGGTTACCAAAATATTTACTCATAGCTAGGAATACCCCACCATACAATCAATCATTCGAAAGGATTCACAATGATTGAAGAAAGTGAAATATCGGAAAACCCAAAAGTGTATCACACAAACACAATTGAAGCATATTGGCAAGTGATCAAATCAAAAATACCGCCAAGAGAATGAAGATACTTATTCTCAGAATTATTAGTCTTTATTTGAAAAAAACAAAACCCTCATGATCAATTGATAAAATCTAAACAAACAGAATTAAAGAACTTTACGCCCAAAGAATAAATTGGAAAACTATAGAAACCAACAACTATTTAAGGACCCTAAAATGGACTCCAACTCTGACAGAAAAAGAAACCTACCAGAAAAACAAAAGAACCCTGAAAAAATAATAATAATATCAAGAACCCGATTCATCAATAACTCCTGGAGAAGAACTGAACCTATCAATTGCTCTAATTGCAATTATCCTAGGCTACCTGGTCATGATTGTTTATTTAATCCAAGCAATCCTAATGCACTTAAACGATTTGCAAAAGATCAAAGAACAAAAGAAACAATTAGCCCTGAAATAATCCTCAAAGAAAAATTTAGAATCTGAGATAATACTTTAAGAGAAGAGTACCCTATCTGCAAAAAAGTATCAATACTTGATCAACATAATTGCCTGAAGAAAAATGAAAGAAAATTTGACAAAGACTTTTTACTATACCTTCACTGAAAAACTACTTGTAGAATTTGTTATAAGCAAGGATATCCTAACTTATATTGTCCAATTGTAACCTGTAAAATTTGTGAAGAAAAAGGACACATTTTTAAGAATTGTCCAAATAAACCGAGTACTACTAAAGAAATAAAAAATTATTAGAAACAAGAAGAACCAGAAAAACAACAACTACCATCATCAAGAATCAAGGAAGGATAGCAATTAACTTGTAAACATTGCTACCAAGATTATTATCAAGAATGTCCATATTATAACCTTCTTGAAGCACAATGAACTAAAACATGTAGATGCAACCAGAAAAAAGTAATGAACGAAAGAATTCACCAATAGAAAACACTTGGAAATAAATCATACCAAGATGTACACAACTTACCAACCTATTATTGCTGTAACTGCCAAAGACCTGTTAGGAAAAATGATCACTTCACACTAAACAACTTTGAAATAATTAATCATAATAACGTAAAAAAATATTATAAAGAAATATTACTTTGCAAAACATGTTACCATACCCAATTTGAAAAATTAGAAATTGATGACCCAAAAGCAGAAGAATATTATAAAAAAGAAGAAATTAACAAATTAACCGAATGCAACTTCTGTTGCAAACCAATTAGAAAAAGACAAGGTTACCAACTCTGAAACACAGAACAATATATGTGTTGCCTAGAAGAAATGATAGCATTCATGGTTTATGCAGAAATAACTGATAAACCAACATACTGAATCCATCAACGAATCTACCATAGAACAATATACAGTGTACATGCAAGTAAAAGCATCAATGAATCAAAAATTTATAGGCTAATTGCCTTAATTAAAGAAGAAGAAACTTTACTAGATAAAGAAGGAATCCCCAAATGATACAATCAAAAAGCAATACTTTTGCAAGAAAAAGAAACTAACATTATTCAAGATTGGTATATAACCTATTACAAATGATCAAAAATGATCATATCATCTTAT